ATGGAGGCATGAGCGGAGTCCGGACAGACCGGAATATAATTTCAACTATGTGTTTTGGTCATTTAAACCAGCAATTGATGGTTTTGTGCATTGTCGTCCTGTAATTTCCATAGACGGTACTCATGTCTATGGAAATTATGATATTAAGCTTTTGATTGCAGTTGCAGCAGATGCTAACGGACAAATATTTCCACTAGCTTTTGCCATTTGTGCCAACTAAAGTGAAGAGACGTGGACGCAGTTCTTGAACCACTTGAAGCAGCACGTTGTCAAACAATGTTCAGGTATTTGTCTAATATCTGATCGGCATGGTGGTATTTTAAGTTCTGTACGTCACTTGCCTGAATGGCACGAACCATATGCATACCACCGTTACTGTGTGAGGCACCTGAAGGCCAATTTCCAGAAGAAATTTCCTGACAAGGCCTTGCATGACTTAATGTGGATGGCTGTAACTGAGCACCAACAGTGCAAATTCACGAGGCGCATGGAAGCGATCCGGCAGATAGAACCACGAGCCTATACTTGGTTGATGCAACATGAGCTTCACATGTGGACATTGCATGCTGATGGCGGCAGACGATGGGGAGCCCTTACTACAAACGTGTCGGAGTCATTCAACGGCTTGTTGAAGTCTGCCCGTGGACTGCCTGTCACTGCCATGGTCCGCATGACATTCAAACAGAGTGCGGAGAGGTTTGTTGAAAGGCATGCAGCTGCATCGGCATTGATGGACAGGGGTGTTGAATTTATGCCAATACCCATGAGAAGATCTGAAAGGTCCAGGAGGCGAGCACAGTGGCATTCATTCTTCAGTACGATCATGAACAGAGTATTTTTGAAGTTAAGACCGCTATCAACGGACACCGTGGGAATAATCTACAGACGGTGAATGAAAATAGAAGGTTATGTTCATGTGGGAAATGGACCATCTACCACATGCCGTGCGCACATGCGTTGAAGTGCTTTCAACAAGTTGGTTATGGGGCAACAAACTATATTGATAGGCAATACAGTGTTGCTGCATACGTAGACACGTATAGTGGGAAGTTGCATCCATTAGGTGCTGAGTATTATTGGCCGTCGGAACCTTTTAAGTTGGTATGTAACAAGGACTATTTGCGCAAGCTGAAAGTGCAAAAGAGAACGCGTATACGGAACCAAATGGATGTTGGTGAGTCCGTTTATGCGCGTAAATGTGGCATATGCTCGCAAACAGGACACGACCATCGTAAATGTCCTTCAGGTGGTGTGCGTGGCGGTGGTAATCCTGGTGCAAGTTCGTCCAATGTACCCAACTATCAAGGATACCCCTAGTCTTTTATTTTGGTTTTATTTTTTATAATACATGTCTGTAGTTGTGTTTGTTTCAATATATATGAAATAAAATAAATTTCCACAATCTTGTTACATCTTATTTTTTAACGTTATATTTTGATATGGTTGGTTCAAATATTGAGGTATGGGTGTTAGTAAACATGACCAAGAATGTGGTATAAAAAAAATTTCGTTAAAAAATAAATTAAATATGTAAAGCGTGGTACAATAATGTGTTTTATCAGTTACAAAGTCGTTCTTAAAAAGCTGTAAAGCGTGGTTCAAAAGCTTGAATGAATGAAGAAAAAGCTTTTTTTTTTGCAGAGAAATTTAATATGTAATTCGCAATATAATACTACGTTTTGTTGAGTTGTCATGTCGTTCTGAAAAAGCTGAAAACCCTGTTTTTTTATCAGAATAATTAAATATGTAAATCGCAGTATAATACTATATTTTGTTGAGTTGTCACGTCGTTCTGAAAAAGCTGAAAACCATGTGAAAACCCTGTTTCGTGTAAGAAAAATTTAATATGTAATTCGCAGTATAATACTACGTTTTGTTGAGTTGTTATGTCATTCTGAAAGAGCTGACAATCATGTGAAAACCCTGTTTCGTGTCAGAGAAATTTAATATGTAATTCGCAGTATAACACTACGTTTTGTTGAGTTGTCAAGTCGTTCTGAAAAAGCTGAAAACCATGTGAAAACCCTGTTTTTGTATCAGAATAATTTAATATGTAAATCGCAGTATAATACTACGTTTTGTGTGAAATATTGACTATAATTAACGGTCGCATGCTACTTATATTCTTCGCTTAACAATAACCAAAGTTTCTCTATAACAAATGTCTGAACAAAACGTTTACGTCCCAAGATGCTACTGCGGAGAAAAATGCAGTTTGTACAAATGGTGGCCAGATGGTGGACGCCGCTACTGGGCATGTACGAACAAGCTTGATGAGCTACCCGGCAAGCCTACATGTGAATTTGAGGCTTGGATGGATGAACCATGTAACCAGGAGTACTACAAAGAAAGAATTTATCACCTTCATTGTACATGTACAAGCCAAGCGGTATGCGAGCGTCGAACCAACGATAAAATTGAGGCGTTGAAGGCCAAACTCAACGAGGTAGAAGAAGAGAAAAAAAAATTGGAAGAACAAATCGAGTGGTTGGAGCAAATTGTAGTACGCGGTCGTGATTAAACACTGGCTTGTACGTGATAAGCATAGTAGTGTATTTTTATGTTTCTCTTGTCATGTGTTTGTATTAGTTGTACTGTTTGTATCTTTAGATTTGCCGCTTTTGTGTTTGTGTTGTCATGTTCAAATAAAATTGCTGTTCAAATTCTGTTCCAATAAAAATATTGTTATAGTAGAGTTGTTGTCATTAAATACATAATGTATTATTTTCTTCATAGAATTGTTCAAATATTCAACTTATTATTGTTGCTAAAGAACTCCAAACTAAAAAATTTTTAAAAAAATTATATGTAAAGCGTGGTATAATACATACGTTTTGTTGAGTTGTCATGTCGTTCTAAAAAGGCTGAAAAACATGTGAAAACCATGTTTCGTGTCAAAGAAATTTAAAATGTTAATCGTGGTATAATACTACGTTTTGTTGAGTTGTCATGTCGTTCTGAAAAAGCTGAAAACCGTGTGAAACCCTGCTTTTGTATCAGAATAATTAAATATGTAAATCGCAGTATAATACTATGTTTTGTTGAGTTGTCATGTTGTTCTGAAAAAGCTGAAAATCGTGTGAAAACCCTGCTTTTTGTATCAGAATAATTTACTATGTAATTCGCAGTATAATACTACGTTTTGTTGAGTTGTCATGTTGTTCTGAAAGAGCTGACAATCGTGTGAAAACCCTGTTTCGTGTCAGAGAAATTTAATATGTAATTCGCAGTATAATACTATGATCAATCTGAAATCTTGCCTATAAATAACGAGCGCATTCGAGTTATTTTCTGCGCTTCACAACAACCTATAATCGAGATTTTCCATAAAACCAAACTTCTCTTTAAGAAATGTCTCAACGACCCCTTCGTTGCCCAAAGTGCGACTGTGGAATCAAAAGCATGATGTACAATGAATGGGAAGAAGCTGGACGCCGCTACTGGGCGTGTATGAACAAGTTTTATAGGCAACCCGACGTACCTATATGCAATTTTAAGGTATGCGTTGATGAACCATGTGAGCAGGAATACTACAAAGACAAGTTGTATCATCTTCAAGATGTGTGTATGGGGCAGTGGGACAGAGAGCGCCAATCGAAGCAAGAAATTGAAGAGTTGAAGGCGAAGGTCAAGGAGGTGGAAGAAGAGAATAAAAAAATTGGTAAAAAAAAGCTCGAGAGGATGAAGCAGAGAATACTAGGCGGTCGTAACTAAGCAATGGCATTTACGTGTTGAGTGTTGTATTGTATCTTCATGTTTCCTTTGTCAAGTGCTTTCATTACTTCTACTGTTTGTTTTTGTGTTAGGTTTGTAAGGTTTGTGTTTGAGTTGTACTGTTTAAGTAAAATTGTTGTTCAGATGCAATTAAAATAAAATTGTTATTAAAAGATAATAGTTACCATTATTTACATAAAGCACTATTTACACAAAGTTAATACATAAGTAAATCAGTGAGTGTCGCAGCCTTTGTGCTTCAATGCTGCTGCTGGCCTAAGTCGCATCCCCTATCGCCCGGGCACACTATCTGGATCATCATCATCAAGCCGCCTCTTTATGTGAGGATGTTTAGCAGCATCGACACTACAACTGGCAGGATCGGAAGAATAGGCCGTCGGGCCGTCAGCAACCTATAAAAAAAGAAGTAATCTTAGCATGTGAAAATGTATTATTTTATGAAAATGTATTATTATCTTAACCTACAAAATGTACTATTATTTTAAGTAAGAGAAATATTTTCTCACCATGGTCTCGTCGACCTCCTAGGTATATGTATCCATGGTGTGCTCATCACCGCATGTAGTGTCCTCAAAGATGGGCTGGGACGAAGACTGCATAAGAAAGTAACAATTAATTAATGGCAGCTATTTAAGGAAAAGAAAACAAATTGAAATATTAAAGTGATACAAACATACCGCCGCCTGTGGTAGATCCGCATGAACTGCCGGGGACGATGGATAACTCAACCTGCGCCCGCCATCCACGTCCCGGGCCGGCCGATCCTCAGCTGCGGTAGATGGGCATGCGAAGTACTAATTTACATCCCCGTCGAATGTACCCATGATCGACAATGCTCCTGACGGGGTGACCTGCGATGCTGGCAAAAATAGTTGAAGGCTATACGAAGGCATGCTGCTGGAAGGCTCATCTGCATGAGGCATATAACCCTGCTGATCATCTCCAAAGCCCCCAACTCCGAAATCCTCGTCATGTCCCTCAGCAGGTGGGTCGACAGGTACCTCAACGCCCCCTTGCTGACCACCTCCTTGCCGTCCCCTGCGACCCCGTGGGGCACCGCTGCCTCGTGGGGCACCCCTTCCTGGTGCCCTACCCCTGGCTCGTGGGACTGGCCTACCCCACTGGTAGGCCTCTGGAGCCACATACTGAGGCTCATGGTCTAACCTCTCGGCATCTCTCGCCAGCAACAGTGTCAGACGAGCCATCTCAGCCACCTGCCGGCCATACTCAACCACTTCAGGGATGTCGGCACGCTGCTGCATCTCCTATCCCAACTGGTAGATGCGATGATGCCCAATACCCTGTGAAACATTTAAAATAGTAATTAAATAACGCTATATCACAATTATAAGATATTAATAAGCCACAAAAACATACCAGTGCCTCGTGCCTCTCGGCGTACGGTCTGTAGCGTTCGCCAAGTACATGAACGGGGTTCCCGATCATCATTCGGGTCTGACGGCGGTACCACTCAGCATACAGATGAATACTGGCCTCCTGGAAAACTATAGGTGGTAGCGGAATGCGCTCAGCTCGGTCCTCCCAATAAGCTATCTGCTGCTGTAGCCATCCAATATACTCCTTGTCCATGCTGGCACGGTCGTCCCGCTGATAGTGTGTAGCCTCCCATCTAGGCTCCCTCGGTATAGGCTGAGGACGGCCAAACTGTCAAAGCACACGCTCAGTGGCATGATACTCAACGTGATCCCAGAAGATCATCGGGACGGAGGTGCTCCAAATCAGCCGGTCGAGCAACAAGCGGGTAGCTGACCAAGCAACTCGATGTTGTATGGCGTCCAGATGAACTACCAAATAATAACATAAAAATGAGTACACAAAACACAACTTAATTTAAAACAACCAAGTGTAGGTACATATTACCTGTCCGTCCACCAACATATCTAACACATCCCTGAGAAGGGGGAGATTATGATGAGCATCCGTCCCTCGGTAGTTCCCACGCCGGAGAATCCACCTGATAGCTAGAGGGAGAAGCGGATAATCCTCATCGGGCGGAAGTGGTAGTAGAGGTGGCTGCAACGGCATGATCCGCTGCCAGGCCCAAACCTAAGATAAAATGTTGATGTAAATTTATGAGTCATTTCACGATATAGAATTTGGAGTAAAGAACAAAGTATTCGGAAATTTTTTGCACCTGTAGGAGGGGCAGAAAACCACATATATCAACCGCTGGACCTATGCTCGCCCGACACATGCTCCTATACAGATACGCCAGAACAGTAGCACCCCAACTGTACTGGGGTAGCTCATCCAGCTGCTCAAGACAATGGAGAAAGCGCATACTCACTTTACTCCCCGAAGTGTCCGGGAACAAGACACACCCGAAAAGCAGGAGCAACGTCAACCGAGTGTACCTCTGAATCCAAAGATGCTCCGTCTCGTGGGTAATATCTGGGTGCAACTCCGCCATTTGATCTCTAATGAATGACAAAGCAATGCGACTGCCACCCCGGTCACCCTGAGGTCTAGAACCAGTCAACTGCCCCATCATATCCGCCAACTGTGCACGTGTCATCCCTCTCTAGTGGTGGGGCAGTGCGAAGGCGCGTCCCTCTACGCGCAGTCCGTATAAAACCTGGACATCCTGCAGCGTGATGGTGGCCTCTCCAGTGGGCAAGTGAAATGTATGCGTCTCCGGTCGCCACCGCTCTACCAAGGCTGTGATGAGCGACCAATCAAGCTGCATCCGTCCAAGCTCAAAAATGGTATATAATCCCGTAGTCTGGAGGCTCTCTACTACGTGCTCATGGAAAGGATGCCCCGCAATAAACTCCCACAAATCATCAGGCCTCCTGGGGCGGAGAGCCTGCATCGATAGTTGTCCCTCCCAAACATAGGAGGACCTATGGTCGCCCTGCAGCACTAGTAGCTGATCCTCGGCAGGTCCAGGATGCGCAGGCGGAGGAAAGGCCATGTCGTCTACTATAATTTAAACAAAATTAATTGTTTGTGTTAGTGTAATAAAGTAAATAATTAAGTATGATTAATATTGGAGAGAATAGTTATGTATGGGTTCCATGCTTGATTTTTGAGGCCCGGTAGCACCGAGTTATCCTTAAAACATTTTTAGAATTTTGTTAACTTAATAAATTAAATAATTAATTATGATTAATATTGGAGAGAATAGTTATGTATGGGCTCCAGGCTTGATTTTCGAGGCCCGGTATGTCACGGCCCGGATTTCCCACCATCGGGATCGTGATGGCGCCTACTCGTGGTAGCTAGGCAAGCCAACTTATTTACCTTTTCATCACTAAACAATTATTTTAACAATTTATAGCATCAATATAGAACATGAAATTTACTAAGAATAATAGCGGAAGTCTGATTTATAAATCTGAATCAAAATGCGGAACAATTAATAATAGCCTCTACCCAAGATTTGGTGTCATGTTACACACGAACCACTAAGAATAAACTAAATACAAAGGTCTGAAAGAAATATAACAGTTGTCTGTCTCGAAAACAATGAGGCAACAGTCAAAAGGAAACATAAAGAAGAGACGCCGGGCCTGCAGACGCCTGTAAGGCTACCTCAGTCTCGTGAATAGGAAAGTCTGCTCCCGAACTACTGCTGTTGCTGCTCCTCAAAACCTGGACCTGTGCAAAAATGCACAGAAGTGTAGCATCAGCACAACCGACCCCATGTGCTGGTAAGTGTCTAGCCTAACCCCGGCGAAGTAGTGACGAGGCTAGACTGGATATCACATAAACCTGTGCAGTTATAAATATACANTACTTTTCTTATCTCACGATATCACTGGAGCCCAAGCTCCAAGAAATTTCTTATCTCATATTCCGTCACAAACAACAATATAACGACTTCCCAGTAAGGGAACAAAACATCATCTCAAATATTCCGGCAAGGGGATTACTATAACCACATTAGTTCCAACATCTAACCACCACAGCTATAACCAACCTATTACCACAATTAACCATCTCAGCTATATCTAACCGATTTCCTCACCTAACCACCCCATTGATAACTAGCCTATTACGTTACTTAACCACCTCAGCTATAACTATAGTCATCCCACAACACAAGGAAACATTAACCTAAGCGACCCTAGTATCCGTCAAGAACACAATGCAGAGGAGTCACAACCAAACAATAGCCCGTCAAGAGGGCAACATAATGATCTCTTCTCTTCACAACTCGAGTAAATGCTCTAGAGGCTCAATTATCACTCGTACTGTCACAATACGTTCTACAACTGGAGCCGACGACTCCTCAATAGAAACAAGTACATTTCTATATACTTTCTAATATTCATATCACAATTCGAGCCAATGCTCCTAGGGATCAAATTATCATATCACCATTCACATGTTATTCACAACATATAGAAATACTCCAATAAACATGGAATTCATAATCAGTTCATGATAATTACATTATAAGGACTCACAGTCATGCTAGACACCAATGTATAGATACTCGTCACCATGCCTATACATCGTACTCGATCACATAGCAATTATCAACAAGACTCAACTCCTATTCCCTCAAGCTAGGGTTAAACCAAACACTTACCTCAAAGCCTTGAAATCCACTTAATCCTCAACTATTGCTTTACCTCGCGGTTCCACCTCCAATTCGCTCGAATCTAATCACACATTGCTCAATTACTTAATAAACATTATATGAATCAATTTGAATGCATAAAAAAAATGAGTTTCCCAAGTTTTTCCCAAAAATTCCAAAATCGCCCCCGGGTCCACGTGGTCAAAACTCGAGGTTCGAACCAAAATATGGTTACCCATTCCCCCACGAGTTCAACTATATAATTTGTTTTGAAATCGGACCTCAAATCGAGGTCCAACTCCCCAATTTAGAGAAAACCTAGGTTCTACCCAAAAATCCCAATTTCACCCATGAAAATCTTTGATTTCAAGTGGAAAACATGTTTAATGATGTTAAAGATTGAAACAATTGAGTAAAAATCAACTTACAAGTGATTTGGGATGAAGTTTGCTCTTGAAAATTCGCCTATGGTGTTTGGGTTTTGAAAGAATGGTGAAAAGTGGACTAAGTATAAAATTTGCTGGGCCTCGGATATGGGAAATGCGAAGGTAAGTTCGCATTTGCGAACATCACAGGCTTGGGAATTGCGACCACAGGGATCGCATTTGCGAACTCGGGTCTGGTGGACTAGGTTCGCATTTGCGAACATCCGATCGCATTTGCGATCATGGCCATATCGCATTTGCGAACAGTGGCGTCGCATTTGCGACCCAAGCTGAAACCCTTCCATCTCGCATTTGCGATGGGGAACTCGCAATTGCGAGTCTCGCATTTGCGAGGAATCTTTCGCAAATGCGAGAATACCAGACCTGATCTGCAATTTTTTTTTTTCAAAGTTCAAAAATGCAACTCGACACCTATCCAAAACTCACCCGAGCCCTCGGGGCTCCAAACAAAACACGCATACAACCTCAAAAACATCCTACGGATTTGCTCGTGCGATCAAATCGCCAAAATAACATCAAAATCATTGAATCAAGCCTCAAAACACATGATTCTTCTTCTAAACTTCATAACCTTTCAAGCTTTGAACTCATAGTCCGAAACACGCCAAACGACGTCCGATTTCGACCAAACTTTACAGAAAGCGCTTAACACATATTTAAGACTTGTACCGGGCGTCGGAACCAAAATACGAGCCCGATACCATAGTCTTTTAATCAAATTTTCATTTCCATTTTCCTTAATAATTTTAGAAAAATAATTTCACGAAAAAATTCGTATCTCGGGCTCTAGACCTCGGAATTCGATTCCGGGCACATGCCCGAGTCCCATATTTTTCTACGGACCTTCCGGGACCGTCCAAATCTCGGGTCCGGGTCCGTTTACCAAAAATGTTGACCAAAGTCAACTATAATCATATTAATATCAAATTTCTTCAAATTTTGTACAGAATTCACATATTTCAACATAAAAGCTTTCCGGCTACGCGCCCGGACTGCGCACGCAAATCGAGGCAAGTAAAAATGAGGTTTTAAGGCCTCGGAAGCACGGAATGGATGAGGAAATAGGTGATGACCCTTTGGGTCGTCACATCCTCCACCTCTAAAACAACCGTTCGTCCTCGAACGGACAAAAGAAAGAAGTACCTGAGTCAGGAAATAGATGTGGATAACGGCTCCGCATATCGGACTCGGACTCCCAGGTCGAGGCCTCAGGGGGCTGACCTCTCCACTGAACACGAACAGAGGGAAAACTCCTAGATCTCAATTGTCGGACCTGCCGGTCTAGAATAGCTACCGGCTCCTCCTCATAAGATAAATCTTTGTCCAACTGGACAGTGCTGAAGTCTAATACATGGGTAGGATCGCCGTGATACCTCCGAAGCATAGACACATGAAAAACTGGGTGCACGGCTGATAAGCTAGGTGGCAATGCAAGTCTATAAGCCACCTCTCCCACTCGATCAAGAATCTCAAACGGACTAATGTACCTAGGGCTAAGCTTGCCCTTCTTTCCGTACTTCATCACGCCCTTCATCGGCGACACCCGGAGCAATACCCGCTCACCAACCATGAAAGCTACATCTCGAACCTTACGATCTGCATAGCTCTTTTGCCTAGACTGAGCTAAACGAAGTCTGTCCTGAATGACCTTGACCTTCTCCAAGGCCTCCTGAACTAAATCTGTGCCTATCAATCGAGCCTCTCCCGGCTCGAACCATCCAATCGGAGACCGACACCGCCTACCATATAAGGCCTCATAAGGAGCCATCTGGATGCTCGACTGGTAACTGTTATTGTAGGCAAACTCTGCTAAAGGCAAGAACTGATCCCATGAACCTCCAAAGTCAATAACACAAGCCCGGAGCATATCCTCCAAAATCTGAATAATCCGCTCGGACTGACCGTCCGTCTGAGGATGGAACGCTGTGCTCCACTGGACCTGGGTACCTAACTCCTGCTGAACCGCTCTCTAGAAGCGTGAGGTAAACTGCGTACCCCCATCCGAAATGATAGATACCGGCACTCCATGAAGGCGAACAATCTCCCGGATATAAATCTCAGCTAACCTCTCGGATGAATAGGAGACTGCCACTGGAATGAAATGTGCTGACTTGGTCAGCCTATCAACAATGACCCAAATAGCATCAAACTTCTTCCGAGTCAGCGGAAGTCCAGTAATGAAATCCATGGTAATCCTCTCCCACTTCCACTCGGGGAGCTCAATCCTCTGAAACAAACCGCCGGGTCTCTAATGCTCATACTTGACCTGCTGACAGTTCAGACACCGAGCCACATACGCAACAATATCCTTCTTCATCCTACGCCACCAATAATGCTGCCGCAAGTCCTGATACATCTTCGCGGCGCCCGGGTGAATAGAATACCGAGAACTATGGGCCTCTGCTAAGATCAACTCTCGAATCCCATCAACATTAGGCACACAAACTCGCCCCTGCAATCTTAAAACACCATCATCATCCAAGGTCACCTTCGTGGCACCTCCACGCTGCACCGTGTCTCTCAGGACACACAAATGGGGAT